AGCCTTAAAATGGCTCCATGAATATCTAACGCAGCGCTGTTAGTAGAGTGTTTGACAGTGATGGAATGTTCTGGATGGTTCTGTCTACTATAGTGGCTACTGGCCACAGTGGCTGCTGAGCCACTGAAATTGGACTTGTCTGTCTGAGGTACTGAAGTTTTTGTTTAGTTTAATTTTAATTAAAATGTGAACAGCCACACCTGGCTGTGAAATTGGATGATGCAGGCCGGAGTTGGGGGTGGGGGTTAGCTATTTGTTTTATTCATGATTATAATACCATTTCCCAGGCAACTAGTGTGTGCCAAGCCTTCTCCCAAGGTACTTTCAATAGGTGATCTTATTAACTGCTGCCAGCAACCCTGTATTACTCCATATTCCAGACGGGAAAACACACCCAGAGAGGCAAAGTGACTCAGTGCTGGTCACTAGACTCCTGACTTGAGACCACCAGTCCTGCCCTTCTCCCTAGAACCACCGCACACTGGTTTGGGCCGTCATACAGCAGTTTCTTTACTCATTCTCCAAGTCCCTTTACAGATCTTGGTTTTTCTCTCTGGGATGTCAAGGGAGTCCAAAAAGGATTATCTTAGCCCATAGCAGGGGACCATTGTCATTTTCTAGCAGCTTCCATGTGGCCCCTCTTTCCCAGCCTTTCCCTGTGGTAGACAGTGAGCTGGAGAGAGTCCTCAGCCTCTGAGCCCTTGGTGAGCTCCCCAAGTCTACCGGAAGTCCCAGACTCCTCACTCCTGGCAGAAAGTGGTGCTCAAAATTTCCCAGCATTCATCTATGCCCCAGTTTGCCCCATCACTCTGTCTGGGACAGAAGAGCAGCCGAGCCCTCCTGGGAGGTGGGGGTGGGCAGGTGGACTAGGCCTTTCAGGGCAGGTGAGGGGCATCTCTAGTCTTCAGCTCTGCCATCATCCTCCCTGCTGTGGCAACCCCTCCCCACATAGCACTCTGGGTGGGGGAGGCTCCTGCCTGTGGGGGCAGCTGGCCTGGCTCCCCTTGCCTGCTCCCAGTGATTTATGGCTATCCTCTTCCTCACACAAAGCCTCAGCCTTGTAGGTGCTTACCAGAGTCCTGCTGGCCAGCAGAGTGGGGGCATGAAGCAGATGGAAACAGCTAGCCAGCCTCGGGCCTGGAGAGGGGATGGAGGCTGAGGCCTCCTGCTTCTTCCTTCAGTCACGTGTCAGCATCCCAGACAGAGCCACACATGGCAGCGTTCCTGGGACCAGTCGATCCCACAGCTTCCGTGCTGCACAGGAGGGTGGTTCGGGCACAGCCATCCAGAGGGCTCGGGTACCTGTTGTCAGACTTTCTTTATGGGGCTCCACAGCTCACGTCACACACGGTCACCAGGCCTGTAGTACACAGGCCTTCCCTTCCTCCCTGGGACCAGAGACCTCGTGAGTTTTATTTCTCTTTGTTCCACACTTCTTCAGAGCAGCACTGCTTTCTTATGCTACGGGGTCTGGTGGGAAGTTTTATGTTGTCTACTGCGCAAGCCATCACTTAGTATCTTGGTTTTATTGTTAGAATGAAGCAACACAGGCATTTGACGGCCTGACTCTGGAATTGCCGCTTTGGAAGGAAGGTGGCATGGGTTGCTTTTGAGGATGTGGAAGGAGGAATCACAGTCCAGCATCATCACTCCCCAAACACTTACTTTGTAAAATTCCTTCCTGTGGGGTGGGCGGGACACCAGAACTAGATCTGCTGGGTTAGGAATGTAGAAATGGCTTCAGTGACCTTAGACCTGGAAGTTTACAGCTGGGCCACCCAAGTCTCTGAAGAACAGGGGTTCAGACGGGGATTCAACCCAGAGCTGGGGGAGGAAGTGTCATTAATTATTGTCCTGCTCTCTCACCCCTCGGGTCCTTTCCATGCTACAGTCAGGACAGGGCACCTGGAGACGGGAGGGGAGGTGGAGGGCAGGAGCCCCGCTTTCTTGGCCTCTCCCTGCCTTAGCCCCCTGGGAAGGGAAGTGGAGCTGGGGCTGTGGGCAGCTCCTCCCCCTTTCCTGTCCTTGTCCCCTTAGCTGGGACCATGACAAGTCAGCAGGGAGCTCCAGGAGTGGCCAGGGTGAGGGTGGCATGGTCCTGTTCTACTTGCTGTGGCCCTGGATCCGAGGACACAGTTCTTCTTGGCCAGGATAATGGTGTTTAGGCAGTTACAGTCAGGCCACCCTGGGAAATGGTGTTCAATAATTTATCAGCCAGAAAGGAGGCTGGCCTGGAGTTCTGACTGGCAATATGGCCCAAGTTTAACCCTTTTTTTTATCTGGGCCAGAGAGAGGTGTGAGGGCATGGGAGGGCACCACAAAGCAGCTCTCAGCCAGCTCCCAGGGAGGAGTTTTAGAGTAGAATACTGGCATGGCTGTGCTGTGAGCACCTTACCACCCTTCAGTTTAAAGATAGGTTAACTCGGGATGGTAGCAGATCAGGAGGAAGTCCCTGCATGACATCTATTCCTCATTCACTCCTCCTCCCCTGCCGCCCTGCCCTACGGAGCCCTCAGTGTCCTGCCCAGCCCTGGCCTCCGGGGTGGGAGCCTGCAGATGGCTGCTGTATGAACAGGAAGGGAGGAGACAGGAATCTCTGCACCTCCTCTTCCCCCATCCCCAAGGGGCTGAGCTCAGGTGCAGACTCCCTGGCATTCCTGCCCAGGGAAGCTGTGTGTAACCCTTCACCGTGGAAATGGGGGCTATGGGGTGGGCAGAGGCGAGCAGGGGCAGGAACACCCACATCCTGTCTTCTGGACACCCAGCCCAGGGGCCTGGCACTTCAGGGCAATCCTTGCTTGAGAGGATATTCTATCCTTGCCACTTTGGAAATAATGGGTGATGTTCAGGGGCAGAAAAAAGAGAGCAAGTACCCATGTGGAGAGAGTCACTGTCAGCGGGGCCCACACCTGTGGGCTGGGCATGCTGACCTGCAGGCGAGCATGGGCCCAAAACAGCCCCTTCCCACCTGCAGACATCCTGAGACATCTTGATGTTTGTCCGCATGGCAGCAGTAGACGGGAGCCAGAGGTGCTTTGGTGGGGAGCCTGTGGCTAGGAGCATCTATTCCTTCTGGAATGACTGGGGAAGCTTCCAGAATGCTGCACATTGAGATGATTGGAAATGTAAACCAAGCTAGTTTTTAATTGGGACGGAATGCTGGAGCAGATAAGGCTCCCTGACAATGGTGATGAGATCCAGAGGGGGAAGCAGAAAGCGAGAGCCAAGCCCGCCCTGCCCTCTCCTCCTCTGTTCGGGGTGGAATCTGCTGGCTGGAGAAAGAGAGGAATGGAGGGTTGGGCCACCAGCCCCCCTTCCTTCTCTCTTCCGCCCTCTCCACCTAATGAGCTGTAAAGCCAGAAGCCAGGGTGTCCGTCCTCAGTGGGGCCAGAGCTAATTCTCTGTCAGCAGATTTTCAGGAGCCATGAAAATGAAGCAGCTTGGTATAGGGCAGATAACCAGTGGGGCCCAAGGGAAGAAGGCATGGAGTGAATATTTATCGTAGTGGGAGCCTAGCGCATTCCTCCTGCACGAGGCGGCCAGTGGGCATGCACTTATATATGCACATGTGGAAACACGCTTGCTTGCAAAGGGTCCTCAGGACTCAGATTCCTTTTGCTGTTCGTGTTTGCATGCGCACGCACACACACACTGGGTCCTGGGGCTTGAACTCAGGGCCTGGGCACTAACCCTTAGCTTTTTCACACAAGGTGGGCACTCTACCACTGGAGCCACACCTCCACTTCTGGCTTTTTGCTGGTTGATTAAATCACAAGCATTTGTCAGTGTGGGCTGGCTTCTAAGCAGGATCCTCCGATATCAGCCTCCTGAGTAGCGAGGATCATAGGTGTGAGACATCAGTGACTGGCCCTTTCGCTGATCTTATGTAGTGCCAGATATATGCCATGTGGATGCCAAGGATGTCTTGACCACACAAATGCCCTCGTGAAGTAGAGACGAAGGCCTGGAGTGCGGGGATCTGTCTCTCCTCTTTGGAATCTGTTAGTCTTGGCAGTCCTGCGCTGCCTGGTCCCAGATACGTCTCGCCACAGCCTTCTTAAACCCCTCTTTCTGGAAGTTTGCAGCTGTTCTTCCAGAGAATTAGAAGGTGCTTTGTTTCCACACACACAAAAATCAAAGGGCCAAAGAAAGGAAACCATGTTGGTAATTCATGCCTGATCCCACAGAGAAGGCCCAGCCCTCTTCCCACTGAGGGTACTGCCGGCAAGTCACCTAATGGTACCCCTAGAGTGTAAGGAGGCTCCCACCTGCACCACAAAATCCCGACTGCCTGCATCTCTTCCTCCTGTGGGAGTCGAATCTTGAGAGGTCCTTCTGGGTCTATATTCATAGCCATTTGCCCTTAAGAAATAGAAGGCTTTTCACATCCCCAAGAAAAGAAAGAGGAGTGTGAAACTGAATATCTTTCTTTGTTTCCTTTTTTAACATGTTTTGTACCTGGTAAGTTCATCTTGATGTCTAACCTAATGCGAAAATTTGCCATTCAGTGGGGTCCAGTGAAGAAAGCAAGGAGTGCCAGTCCTGCCTTTTGTATGCTGGGGTTACCAGATCCTTCCTTTTGCGCCTTCCTTCTACTCCCTGGTGATACCTTCTCTGGGCATAAGAAACGTAATTTAACTCACAACTTAAGCAAGGGCTGTGGCTGCAAGAGAAAGGGGATATTTTTGCCTCTTCCTAGAGGAAGAAAACTCATTTTCCCAGTGCACCCCCCATCCCTCCTTCTCCTGTACAGATGAGCTTAATTTTCTCCCCTCCTAATGAAGATGGATCAAAGCCAAGCTGTATATTCATGAAGGAGCCAGTCAGGGAAGCGGAGTGAGGGGGCGAGAGGGCAGGAAAGAACTGCTCCCATGGAGAGGAAGTAATTAATTTTAAGAGAAAGCTAAGACAGGGAAGCCCTTGGTAATCAAATGTCAAACCCCAAATGCAGATAGCTAGAAATGACATGAGAGCTGGGAGCATTTCTTTTACTCATCCACTCATGCATCCAACCAGCATTTATTGAGCACCTACTATGCTCAGGCAGGGATGCCAGCCAGCATTAGGAGATGGCTCAGCACCTCCATAACCACAGCATAGCCCACTCTATAATCCACAGTAAGTGAATTAGGGACAGATGGGAGCTGAAAACGAGGCCTCCTGTCGCCAGGGTGAATCATTTGTAAAAGTCCCACTAAATGGATGACGATATCGACCTTTTGCATTGAGGATTAGCTGTTTAAATATCAGCAGCTGTTGACCCCCAGCTTTGTCTCTTCATGGGTTAAAGCATAATGTTGTCCATTTGCTTTTCCATTCACTGATTGCATTGCTCCCTGACAAGTTCTGTCCTTCATCTCCAAAAATTAGATTAGTCCTTCCCTTTCGGTGTCTGTTGTGATACCACAGCATTGCCATAGCAACAGACTGTGATGTCAACAGAATGCCTGGCACTGCTAAAGAGAAGCACGTCGGTCCGAAAGGAGATCTGTCATGTGAAGTACAAGGTGAAATAACCTAGAAAGCCAGAGGAGTTTGGCTGTAAGCGTGGCGTGTAAGATGACAGCGGGCCTGGGGCCTGGTTCGCTGCAACCAGTTACACACTCTTAAGACGCTCCAGCTCCACTGAGGACGGAGAGAGGGCAGGGGTGCCTGGAGGCAGGGGCATGGCGAAGGTGACCTTCAGAAGACCTTCAGACCAAGGATCCTGAGACAGCAGAGGGTATTAGGAAAGGGAAAGAGTTGATCAGCCTTGGAGAATTCGGGGGCATTCACACTGACGTGAACCGCCTTGCTCCTGAGAACTCAGTCACCAGCTGGACTTTACCGTCTTGTGACTGGGAAGATTTGTAGCAATAAACAGTGACCGTCCCCACCCCCTCCAGTCTCATTTGCTGCCTCCTTTCTTGCAAGCCATGAGAGAAAGCTTTCCTTCTTTATCGTCTGAGCAAAAGCCCAATCTCTGCCCTCAGCAGGGACTCCATGACATCTCTGTCCAGACCTGCTTGCTTTCTTCATCCAGCTGCTTGCCAGCTGGACCAGCCTCCGTGGAGGGCAAAGGCGTTGGTGCGGGGTCTGAGACAGGGGAGTGTGGCAGGGGCAATGGCACAGACCCTGTGGGCCTTGGGCCCCTGTGGGGATGGAAGGAGGCTGGGAAGGCTGAGGAGAGACCGGGACACTCCCCAGTTCATCTGAGCACCTCTGCCGCGGCAGCAATCGGAACGAACCTGGAGCCTTGTTTAACCCTTGTGTCCAACAGGCTCTGAAGGGTTGGTTTCTCACTCAAGAGCCTGTGTCTGGATTGAGAGCTGGAGAGGCAGGAGCACTGTCTTCCCTGCGGGTCGGGCTGGCAGGAGTTTCTGCCGTGCAGATGGGAATGCAGCCTGCCCTCCTCCGCCTGCCCAGACACTCTGTGTCCTTAGCTCAGTGAGGCTGGACTACCTGGAAGCCGAGCACCTGCTCCTTGCATGCCTGTCTCTCATTTCTGCATTTCCCCCCCTTTGGGAACCTGAATTGGGAAGACACCCTCCCTTCTCGCTCATTCCGCCTCCAGTCCTCTGGCCGGTAGCATTCTGGCCGAATGCTAGGAAGACAGAGAGCCACTAAGGCACCTGGGTGCCCCCTCCCGTCCCCCGGGGACCGCTCCCTCCCTGGTCTCCCGTGCCAGGACCAGGCAGCCAGTCCCTGTCACCACTCACCTTGCAGCTCTGCCACCGTGTTCTGGGTTGGACTGAAGGACTGACTTCTCAGAGGGATGGTAGCAGCAGGGTGGCTGGCAGGTCCTCTGAGCTGCCAAAAAGATGCTGAAGTTTCGGGCTGATCGCCGGGTCAGGTAGGGATTTCCTGCACGGACCCGTGAGCCCAGGGAAGTAACAGAAGGCCAGGTTGGAGCTGGGGGCTTGGCGGCAGGGGCGGGGGGGGGGGGGGGAGAGGGGGTCTGAGGGAGATGACCCAGGAGGAGAGCGAAGTCAGGTCAGTGGTTGCTGCATTGCAGTGTCTGGGAAGGGGAAGCTATTTTGAAATTGGTAGCGCCAGGATGGGGCGAGGACGTCATGTGTAGGGGTTGCTGGGTAGGAGGCTCCAGGGGCAGGCAGAAATGTGCCATGCCCTAGAAGACTCCAATCGGCTGCCGGCAAACCACGGGCTTCCCCGTGTGCGTCTGTCTGTACCACTGCCTGTAGGAAGCTCCCAATAGTTACTGCCAGAAACATGCAGAGCAGAGGGGCCGGGCAGGGGATGGGTGGGGGGGCAGGAGGTAGGTGGTTGGGGATGGGGTGGGGCAGATACCCCGCACTACTGGATAAGCAGAGAACTTGACATCTCAAGGACTTTCATTGTCCCAGATTGCTTGGTGCTCCCCAGACCTGAGAAGTGGGGGGCAAAGCCAGGGACAAGGCTAACAGGAGACAGATACCCTCCCTGCAAAGATCTACTGTGGTTAAATTGAGGGGAGCATCATTCTGGCCCTGGGAGGGAGGAGGGACTATAGATTTAGGGTTCTGGCTGGCAAGTTCCAGTTTCCAGAGAGGCTTGGCCACAGCCTGCTGCGTCTGTGTCTCCAGCATGGCTTTGGCTTAGATCTGAACAGCGATGGTTTAGAAGCAGGGGGGAGAAAAACCAGCCTTTGATATTATCTTTAGCTTCAGCAGACAGCCCAAGGGCTGGGAGGTGTCCTGGGCAGTTGAAAGAGGGTGCCCAAAAGTTGATTCTGTTTCTCCCAGACAGACAAAGGGGCCAGGCGAGGGGCCCTTTCTTGTGGCACCGACCTGGGCAGGGTCAGAGTGAGCTCTGGCTCTTTGCAGCAAGAGTGCAAAGGGTCCACCTCAGGAGACTCTGTGCTTGCTCTTCCAGGCCGCCAGAGCCGACTTTAGGGGTTCACGGTGTTTCTCAGGAGGGGTGGGGGAAGGGGACCCTGTAAGGAATCTGGCCATGCCCCTGACTGGACGCTGTCATGCTCTGCCACGCCATCTCCTCTTACAGAGTCTATGGCTGACGGCTGCATTGGTGACTTAGGACCCACCCCCCATCCCTCCTCCAGTCCTCCTGGAAGTTCTCTGCCCACTTCCTCCCTATGACCCCTGAGAGCCCACCGGGGAACTAGCCTGACCTTCAGCCAGAAGAGCCGCCTGTACCCCCATCTGTCTCAAGTACACCCCGCCCCTGGGTCTTGCTCCTCCAGGCTTCCTGGCAGCTGTCCTTACAGCACCCCACCCTGCCCTCAGCCACAGCCCTTAATTAGATCCAACTGTTCGGCCAGCACTGACCTTGAGGCCTGGTGGCTCCTGAGGGCTCTGTAGCTCCAGTAGCCTCCAGACAGGAGACCCTGGGGTAGAGTGGGGCCAAGTTATGCCCCAAGCTCAAGAAATGGAGTTTCTGGGCTTCTCGTTTCGTTTAGAGCAAGAGAGAGACGGAGTACAAAGCAGAAGTGGAAAAGCCCAAGGTCAGAGGAGAGTTCTTCCAGCAAATAAGGAAGCGTGGTAGGGTGTGTGTGTGTGTGTGTGTGTGTGTGTGTGTGTGTGTGTGTGTGTGTGTGTGTGTGTGTG